CTTGCCAGAACTGTGAGTCCAAACATTCTCTAGGAGCAGATGACACCCACAGAGCCACAGGCTAGTCCTCACCAAGCCTACAAGTTCACAGGCCTGGGGGAGCTAGAAAGAAGAGGCACACATGCAGGGTTCTCAACTTTCTGATTCCCAGAGCTCACCTCTCTCCTTCCATTTGGTTCAAAAGGCCCGACATGGAGGCTTCTACCAAGGCTCTGAGAGGTCCCTATCACCCAAGTCAGACAGGGCTGCCCCTGTAAGGCCCAGGTTTTTCAGAAGTCACAGAAAATTTGGTACTATTAATGCCTTACTTAAGACCAGAAGAGGAGACTTTGGTTGAGAGCCTTGTTTCCCATCACCTTGTAGCCTCAAGGAAGCTTCATAAAAAGTAAGAAGACATGCTCCTCTAGGCAGAAGTGGTCCTGCCAGGGGGCTGACAGTGGGTTTAAGGATGGATATCAAACCCCCAAAAAAGATGGAGCACAGCGCTGGCAGCTGGGACAGTCAACCTGACAAGCTCTCACGTGTATCTGCAGAAAACCATCCATCACAGCAGTCACTGTGCTACTTGCTCATTTCTGCAGGAAGAACTTTGCTTGCTTTTAATTATTCACATATTTCACCTCCTCTCTAATCAGGAAGCAAATTAAGGTATTTTAGTATCTTTGTTGATTTCACACCCTGCCTCTTCTCCATAATGGATTGCTTCAATTCTTCTAAAATAAGTACAAGGATTATTTCCATTCCTTCTAATAAGTGTTCTGCTTCTCTTCTCCAGGTGTCAGAACCATGCTGGCTCAGATTAACAGTGCTCAAATTCACTCACTAACTCAATGGGTATCCACTGACCTGTCCCAGCAGCCCCAGTTTCATGGGACAATGATGCTATGTCAGGGCATATACAGCATACATGGGGTTTGGGAGGTACATTGCCAATGACTTGAAAGTCGCAAGTGCTCCCCAAGGGGGTGTCAGGTATGCTGGGGAGGTGTGAGGAGAAGGGATGCTGCAGATGCTGAGAGAGAAGATATGAGGAAGCAACAAGGGAGCTGCCGAATGGCCATGATTGGACTGCCCCCGTGTCAGTTCTTTTAGTGGTCCTATTGCTCAGGAATCACAGGCAGAAGTTCTCCTAAGTGGAACCAAACCCCAGACAAAGAAGGAGCTGGGGTAGTATGACTACAGGCCAGTGCTGGGTAGGCATCCACTCATTCTCAGCTCCTGGGAAACACCTGTAGAAGCTATTGTGCAGTGATCCTTGGGGTGATCCTGATGGGCAGCATTAGCATCACATGGATACTTGCTAGAGGTTCATTCAGTAGCATAAAGCAGCAACTGACTGAAAGAGTACCTGCTCTGCCTTCTCTCCCAGCACTGTCACTCCTGACAGAGGGCTCCGGAGTTGGTCAGAGCAAGTTGAGCACCAGGTAATGAGCATCAGGTGGCTTTTCAATACCTTGGAAACTGAAAAAGAGAGCATGACACCCTGGGGTCAAAGATGAGAGGTGTTCTCCATCCATGGATTGGGCAAACTGAGACCCTTCCTGTATTTCAAGATGACTGAATCCTGAGGAGCTGGAGCCCAGGGAAACCTTTGATATGCCAAGAAGGCATAAGAACAACATCCTGGTCCTAATGACTGAACTAAGAGAGAAGGACTTTTGACCATGTAGATTCATGTTTCAAGGCATGTGACTTGATCCACAGAAATCAAACCACATGTAATGAGGATTGTAGGCTGGGGGTTACTCTATTACCCATTTTCACTTAGCTCTGTCAGGCACTCTTGGAGTTTTAAGGCCATTGCTGTTTGCAGACCCTCTCTAGCAGCAGCAACCTGTTACTATAGTTCTTTTGGTGAAGGCAGTACTTTTCACATGTAATCTCAGACCACTGAACATCAGATTTTTGAACTACTGGTATCATATTGGGGAGAATAGTCAGCCAAAGGGAAATACCTGTCACATGGGATCACTAACTTCTTGGAGCTAAAGGAAAGGGAAGTCAGGCTAATCCCCTACTTGACACATTAATGGAGTCAATGTGACCTTTTCTTCCCTAGGAATAAAACAAAAAAATGAAGTCAAAGGCAATGTTGTCAAGATGGACCTAACTTGGACAGAGCTATAATGTCTGTGATATATCACCTGCTGTGATGCTTGTTAATCATATAAAGAGAGATGCACATATTTCACTAACTTTTGCCAATCACAGTCATGCTTCCCACTACCACCTGCTGCCCAGATGTCCTCTGTGACCAGTGGACATAATCCTGCCAAAATACTTCTCCTTTGAAGGCACATAACTCTTTTATTGTCCAAATGACAACCACAAACCAATCAGGGACAGCCAAGTTCTGGGGGTAAGGCAGCAAGAGAGAGCAGAGGTGGGGAAAGAAATAGGTCCTTCCATACTTGGGGTGAAATTAAAAGGTCTTTCTACCATGGCAGGTTTGTGCTCAGTGGAAGCCTCTAGAATGTCTTTATAACTCTTGTAGCATGATCTTCTTCAATCATATAACCATTTGGCTCTCAAGGACAGAGCAGTTTTCATTGGTGTCTGACTGTCTACATCTGATCTGGGTCTTGGAGCTGACACTAAGAGTCCTTTGCACCAGGAGGTCAAGGTGCTGGTTTGCAATAAACAAGCAGATAGTCCACGTGTGTATAGTAGGCATTCAGCAATACTGGGGACCAACAATGACACAGATTAGCTAGTCCTTGAGCTCACTATTTCTTACCTCTCATTGGAAAACTACAGTTGAGCCTTGAACAACACAGGTTTGAATGCTCAGATCACTCATGCACAGAGTTTCTTCAATAAATATAGTTGACTGGCCATATCCATAGGTTCTGCATTTTCAGGTTCTTCTGACATAGATGTTGATGAGCTAAATCCTCAGATGCAGAGCTCACAAATACAGAAGGCTCAAGTATCTGTGGATTTTGGCACCTGTGGAGGAAGGGGGTTCTAAAAGCAAACCCCTGTGACTACCAAGGGGATATCAAACTTAGCTGCAGTTAAGTTTTCTGGAAATTAAAAGTTACACATGCATTTTCAACTGTGAGGGAAAATCAACATCCCACGTTGTTGAAGTCAACTGTACATTAGGGCCCAAGGGTCTCCTGTGGATGCAGCTATTCCTCAGGGACAGGATCCTGCAACCAGTCCTTTCAGAAGAGCAAGGCCATCACCACACTCCTTTTCTCACAAGCCCCTCTGGGTCTACATGGAAGTCACTGGAACATACCCAAGGCATATTGTCAGAAGAGTATATCCTCTGTCCAGTGTTGGGGATAACTTGAATCTCAGCCTAAAGACATATAGAAGGTAGTTTACTATTTTTTGTGTTCCTCAGGAAGATATGTAGAGCAGGTGAGCCTTAACTGGCTTGTTTTCATTTGATGGTGAAAACAACCGGATCACAGCAAAACAAGTAGGCTGGAGAGGGCATGTGTTTCCCCCTCCGCTACCAAGTAAGGGGAAATATTTAGACCTGGCTTAAAAAAGAAGGTGAACAAGTACCTGTAATAAGGGAGATGAAAATTAAAACCACAATGAGATACCACCTCACCCCAGTAAGAATGGCACATCTTCAAACAACTAGCAATAACAAATGTTGGTGAGAAAAAAGAACGCTCCTGCACTGCTGGTGGGAATGCAAACTAGTACAACCACTATGGAAAATTGTTTGGAGGTTCCTCAAACTGCTTAACATAGAGCTTCCCTACGACCCAGCAATCCCACTCCTAGGTATCTATCCAAAAGACACAAAAACATTGATTCAAAAAGACACCTGCACCCCCATGTTTACTGCTGCTTTATTTACAATTGGAAAGACACGGAAACAACCCAAATGCCCAAAATTAGATGACTGGATTAAAAAGATGTGGTACATATACATAATGGAATATTACTCAGCAACCAAAATAAATAAATAAATAAACAAACACAAATCTTTTGCAGCTGGAAAAGATCATGCTTAGTGAAATAAGCCAGAAAGAAAAGAAAAAATACAAAATGGTTTCACTCATAGCAGGAATATAAAGGACCAGGTGAGAAAATAATAATAATAATGAACAACTATATACCAAAGACATTTTATGGGGGTGGAGTGGGAATGTAAAAATAAACTATGATATTATTGAAGGGGGAGGGGGGAGGGGGAGGGGGAGGGGAGGGGGAGGAGGGCAAGTACCAGTACACTGAAGCAACTTCTAGGAAACTTTCTGATGTGTGCAAGTTGCTTTTTAAAAGGGCATTTTTTTTATTTGCTTGAAACACCTTCTTTTCAACAAAAACATAGGTGCTAAATGTCTCTCTGATCCACATTAGTTCTCAGAAACTTTCTATATCACCATGTTGCTGGTTAAATTCACATTTTCCATCTTAAAATGTTCACTGAAGTGACTGAATTCATTGCCAAATAAAAGTATTATAGAAGGTGGAAGGTGGCCTACTCTAAACACTATTTAAATAGGGTATTTTAAAACATCATGTCTTTCAAGAGCTGTAATTTAACAAAAGCACATTTTCTAAACAAGATAAGTATTTCACTTCCTAGCAATGATTCAACTGGTTATATGTGGGAATGATGTACAGCTTCTATGGTAGTCAGGGTTAAAATATCGAGCTACTTCTGAGCAGTTGCTAATTTACTCCTGGCCTCAGTTCCCAAGATTGTTCCCATTGCTCTGGTCACACTCTCCCCCTAGCGGCCTCCAGGGCCCTTTAGTGTCAAGGCTTCTTCCTGTTCTGGATGGCCAATGACTGTATTGTCAAATATTTTGAATATTCTCCCTGCTTTTAATGGAGATATTCTTAAAATAATCTGCTAAAACTTTTATTTTCTCCAAACTCCACTCAGCAGTATTCTTGAATATACTAAACTGACCACCTAGTCACAAATTAGAAAGCCTATAGAAACCAAACATTTGCATATTAGCAGGGGTTGGAGGGATATGTGAATGTTTGAGATCCCAAGAATATAAATGGTGGCTCACACGTTGAGAGGAAGCTGGACTTTGGGTGCTGTGGTGCTCTGCTGTTCAGCTGCAGTGGCAGGTCCGGCCGAGGAGGAGGAGTCCTGGAAACAGATAAGAGAAGACAGAGCTGACAGAGGGTCCTGCCCTGGGAAAAGGAAAGCTCGGTATGGGCAGAGTTGAGAGGCATCTGTCTCCCCTCTACTACCTGACCCCTGGCCTCCAGAATTTTGGGGCTGTTAATAATAATTCTTCAGCCACTGGAAAAAACTGGCTGCCACTATTGCCTACCCTCTTAGAACAGCTCAGAAAATCACTTCCTATGGACATAAAAATCTAGAACTGTATTTGAAACAATTTACAAAGACCTAAAAACTGGATAGAATTTCCACGGCAAAGTATAAAAGGGCAGTACCACAAAGCAGATATAAGTTTCACCAAAGTAGAAAACTCACCCAGGATGTGGCAACTTATGCTATGGAAGATCCCAAAGGTGCATGGCATTTCCTAGGGAGTGGGAAGAATTAGTCTCCCCCAAATCCTTCAATCCCAATCAGCAGAGACAACTCTTCGAACACCAGATTTGATCAATGGGAAATGTGTCCAAAACAATCAAGGAAACAAAGCACTACAGAAATAGAGAACATGCCCCGGAGGGCTACGCACACAGATTCCTGTGACCTAGTATGCAGCACATAACACCTGTCTGAAAGGAGCCTAAGTGATAGGTGAAAAAATCTCAGTAACCATTCTTTCAGCATCTGGATGAGAGGCAGGAAGTTTTAGGGACAACACTTGAGATAAAAACATTGGTGTGCTCTGCCTTGGCAGTCTCTCATAACCTTGTTAATGCGAACCCTGGCAGGACAGTGACCACTAGAACTCACCTAGCTTATTAGATCCTGTTGGGTTAGATTTTCACCACTTCACCTTACCCCTACAATATAGCAGTGCCAGTGCCAGTGCCATGCTTTGAAGCAAAACACAGCTCCACACCTCAGAAGTGCACCCCATTTCCAAAGCAGGCCAATAGCCAACCTGCAGTGGCCAAGATATGCTGCTACACATGGCTGAGACACACTGGCAGCTCCATTTACATGCTAAGCAACAAAGGTGGGCCAGCTCCACAGGTGCCATAGCATTTCCCAATGCAACTCATATGCTTATATCAAGCCCAACTATTAGGATACAGCTGCGCAGAGTCAATAGTCCCACATACCAGCTGGAAGCAGGAAGGCAGGTGCAGCACACAAAGGAAACTATCTCATAGTGTCCTTGAGAAACTATCTCGTAAGTCAGAGAAGATCATGTTCCTAAACCCTACAGGACACATCACCTGAAAAACACCAATCAAGAACAGAAAGGGGAGGAACAGGAAAAATGGAGAGGTTATAAAACAAAAAAGCAAGACTAAATCCCAGAAAAATAAAGAAATGGAAACAACAAATCTACCAGGTGAAAAGCTCACAGTAATGTTTATTCAAATGTCCCACAAATTCAGGATAATAGATGAAGCAGTTATATAGCTCAAGAACACAATAATTGAATTGAAAAAATGCAATAGAGAGATCCAACAGCAGACTAAATAAAGCAGAAGAGTAGGTAATTGAGCTTAAAAACAAAACAATACAACTAATCCAGAAGAAGCAGCAAAATAAAATTTTTAAACAGTGACAATACAGGGAACAGGTAAGATGGCAGCAGAGTAAAGACACCAAAATCACTACGTCCAAGCCCACACAGACATATAGGACTAAAAAATGGACTATAGGCCTACATGCTACAAGTTTTAACCCAAATGAGAACACCCAGGACTCACTAGAAGGAAGATAACTGAGGGAGAATCCACAATTGGGGAGTTCTGACAGGGAGCTCCCTCCCTGGAGTGCAGGTGTCCTGCTGGGAAGTGATTCAGACAGGATAATCAGAAACCCTGCAGTTCAGATCTGGGGAGAGCCAAGTCTCTATTGCCACAGACAGAGGCTTCCTGCACATTTGGCTCAGCCCAGCTGCAACACTTCAAATGAGCACCGACTCCATGGCTACACCCAAGCATAGAGGAAACCTGGGACATCAGGATGCTACAGAGATTAACAGGCACCTTCCAGAGAAAATGACTCAACGAGTTATAGAAGAAGCTGAACACTATAAAAGACCCCTGAGTGTCAATGGCAGAGAAGACTGACACAATTCCACACAGTGGGGGCTGGAAAAACAGGAGATATAGAAACAAAACAAGGCTCAGAATACCATCCACAACTGAAGTATCTTGAAATCCCTCTGCCATCCCAGAAAGAACATCCAGAAAGAATGCCGGGCAGGAATAGAAACACTGTGACTCAATGAAGAGAAAGTATTAGAAAATACATAACAGGGAAAAGAAGACTAACAAATATTCAAGCAAGTCCAAGGGGGAAAATTCACCACAAAAAGATCAGGCACAAGAAACCACCAAAGAAATAGAAGAACTGCTCAGCCTATAAGATAGAGAATTCAAATTCATCATGATAAAGAAACAAAAAGAAGATGAGAAGGGAAAAAATGATATGAGGTAAGCCATCAAGGAAATGAAGAATGCAAACAGGAAAATCAATGAAAGAAATGGGAAAAAAAAATGATGAAGCAAGCAATCAACGAACTGAAGAAAATGAGAAAAAATGAGTTAAAAAAAGAAAGAAGAAATGCAGGAGATGAAAAGGCCACTACAGGACATAAAGAATGCTGGGGAAAGTAATGAAAACAGAATAGATGAAATGGAAGAACAAGACAGTTCCCTGAAAGAGACAGAAATAAAGAGAATAAAAACAGAAAAAGAGGAATAAAAAGAAAAGGAATGAAGAAACACTTCAAAAGCTATCTGACACCATTAAGAAAGGAAAAATCAGAGTTATAGGTATTCCAGAAGGTGAAGAGAAAGGCCAAGGAACTGAGAAAATATTCGCAGAGATAAGAAGAGAACTAATATGAAGAAGGACATGAAGGTAGACATCCAAGAAGCAAGAACACCAAACTACCATGACAACAGGAGAAATACAGCAAAACACATCATAGTAAAACTACCAAGAATACAAGACAAGGAAAAGATAATGAGAATGACAAGAGGTAAGAAACAAATAACCTATAAAGGGAAACTGATCAGGCTGATCATCAGACTGTTCTGCAGAAACACTATGTGCAAGAAGACAGTAAAGGGACATACTCAACAAACTCCAGAGCGTTAAATGCCAACCAAGAATACTCTATCCTGTGAAGCTCTCCTTTCTCAATGAAGAAAGAATAAGAACATTTTCAGACAAAAAGAAACTCAACAACTTCATCATGAATAAACCCCCACTCCAAAAAACAATACAAGAAGCCCTCAAATAAAATCCAACAAGAGAATGAACAAGAACAGTTCAAAACAAGGAATAAAAAAGACAAAAGGACCAAAATGCAAATGTAGATGCCAGTATATCAATATTATCTCTAAATGCAAATGGCTTAAACTCATCAATAAGAAGACACAGAGTTGCAGGATGGATTAACAAACAGAACCCAACGTTCTGCTGCCTGCAGGAAACACATCTAACTGCAAAAGATAAAAACAGATGGAAAATAAAAGGATGGAAAACAATTGTACCAGCAAATGGACCAAAAAAGAAGGTAGGAACAGCTATGCTTATATCAGACAAAATAGACTTCAAACTAAAAAAGATTAAAAAAGACAAAGAAGGCCACTACATTATGATTAAAGAGACAATACAACAAGAAGACACAACAATCAACAACGTATATGCACCAATGAAGGAGCAGCAAAATATATCAGGAAACTACTGTCATGTATGAAAATGTATAGCAGAGAAAATACATACAGGAGGAGACTTCAACATGCCACTCTCAACAAGACAAAAATTAAGCAGAGACACTAAAGCTCTGAAAAAGGACTGGGAGAAAATGGGTCTAACAGACATCTATAGAATACTGCACCCCAGAATATCTGAGTACACATTTTTCTCAAATCCACATGGATCATTCACCAGGACTGACCACATACTAGGACATAAGATAAACAAAAATAGAAACACTAAGATTGAAATCACACCAGCTATTTTCTCTAACCATGAAGGAATCAAATAGAAATAAACCATATGAGGAAGATAAGAAACTCACCTACCACATGGAGACTGAAACCCGCATTTGCTGGAGGACCATTGGATCAATGAAGAGATCAAAGAAGAAATTAAAAAATACCTGGAGAAGAATGACAACAACACAAGTCTCCAGAACTTATGGGACACATTAAAAGCAGGTATAGGAGACTTCCAGAAGATGGCGGAAGAGTAAAGACGCCGAGATCACCGCGTCCAAGCCGGCATAGGAATTGAGGACTGAAAACGGACTATAGACTCACTTACTACAAGTTTTAA